GTGCGTGGGCCGAGGGATGCGCTGTCCGCCCTTTCCGCAGCCCCCATTGGCCTGGGGCGGTGAACCGCGGCCAGTGGGAGCCATGATCGGCTGAACCTGCGGACGCGGCAGGTAAATAAACTGGCCCGGCTCACCAGAGTGCTTACCCTGGCGAGCCGCGTGCCAGAGGTTGCCGACCCCTGTGTTAGTGTGTAAAAACCAGAAAATTAAACTGGTCTGTTTGTGTCCAAACTAAGTAAAGTACCAAAGGGGAAACAATATAAATCATGGAAAAATTAGACAAGATTTTAAGAAATGACTAGTGATAGTGTCTCCATTTTTGGGTACTCTGCTTGATACGTAAAAGGGATCTGATCTTAGAGTACCACATTCCCATCCTATGAAAATCTGCTCTCTTTAAGGAGTCAATTGGGTAGCAAAAATTGACACACCCACAATTGCTAGTCACTGCTTGGCCATGATTTTCTGTATCTTTAAATTTTCAGTTTAAATAATCTGGAATGGTGGAAGAAGTTAAACAAGTCGTATCTTGACACTGTTCTTTAGTTTTAATAAACAATGGTGATGTATTTACTCATCCAGAGATGAATGCTCCCCTGCATATTCGGCAGAAATGTTGCTATTACAAAACTGAGAATCCTTCTTGTGTGAGGCTGCTCTCCCTCTTAACCTTTTGTTTTGAGATCAGAAGTATTCCTGGGAAGGTTTTGTCATCTTTGTGGATATTAAAGTTTGTATAGTTTTTTTTTTTTTTACTCATTCTGAACTTTCGCCATTTTTGAACCCCTACACTGGGGTAGTCAGTTATTTCTTGGTCAATGTCCAAATATCTTGGTCAAGGTCCAGATTCCAGAGGTACATTTTTTCACACCACAATAACAATAATAAGTAAATAAAAAGATTTAGTGGTATGTTCAAAAGTGTCTGGCGGTCCAGATTTAACCTGCGGTCTGCCTGTTGACTATCCATGCCCTACACTTTCAGTGTAAGGTACTGGGATATTCTTTTGATCATGAGAGACAATTCTGTGCAAAACACAAAACTGAGGTTTCCAAATTAGGAAATAGCCCACTAATAATGGGTATATAGATGAGTAGTTCTGGTTTTTATGTAATAAAAAAAACCCCATGGAAATAACAAAATTGCCAGTCATCTCCTTGACAACTTTGCTTTTATGTTGTATTCTTTCCCCTCACCCTACCTCTTTGTTGTTTTAGATTGTAAGCCCATTGGGGCAGGGACTTTGTTTTCCCTTATGTCTGTACAACACCTAGCACACTTTGGGCACTACTGGAACATAAATACATAATTCAGATAAGCTTCCACCTTCAGGTAAGTAATACCAAAACAAAGTTAAATGCACTTGTTATCCAGTACAATAAATACTGCATATAGCCTCTGTAATTTGTTGTCCTAGGCAGCTTTTGCTGTCAGTCTCTGGCCAGCAAGGATGTAGGTTTGTAGGGTATTAATCTGACACTCAAGAGAGAGAGAGCCTGTAATTCAGTCTTTCTACAGAGACTAGTAATACTTAAAGCTATGAAAGTTTCACTCTGTGTTGAACTTCCACCAGCATTGTCTGAGTGGTTAGTAAATTAATAGAAGAAACTCATCTGAAAGTCACTGCATCCTGTGTTCCCATAACATCAGTAGCTATATCCAGTTAAACTGGAAATCATTTAAGTTTGTCCAAGCTACAACTGAACTGTAATGCCTAGACTTTTATTTCACATGCTTCTTTTAAAAAAAAATTGTTTGACAATCTTAGTCTAAACACAGGACTGGGACCCATGAATTTTAATCTCACCTCTGCCACTGACCTGGGGGAAGTAATTTAATCTCTGCTTCTTTCTGTCTTTATAATGGCAATAATAACCACCTTACAGAGGTGTTGAAGAGTGATCAATTAATATTTGTAAAATGTTCTGAAAATGAGAAGCTCTGTAAAAGTAGAACACTGACATTACCATAGAATCCTCCCTGATCTCCCTGAGGATTAGTGTAAGATTCTTCCCTATAAGTGCACTTTTAGTGCTTTATGCAGTCTGCTTTTAAAAGCCTAAGGGATGGCTCTTCCACTGTTTTCCCCTCGGAGAATATTCTACAGTCTTAAAGGCAAAGTACTGAAAATGAACTTGACATTGTTAAAACTCCTTTCTTCAGCATATCAGGCCTAACTCTCTCATATGAGATCTCCTGGTTCAGATACCTCCAGGACCCATACACCTGTCTTTCCTTTCTGACTTAAAAGAGGCAGTGTGGGAAGGATGATTGTAAAATAAATAAATCAATAAGCAATGTGCACTTATATTGGTTTTTTTATTGTAAATCTGTTGAAAGCTTTGTGTAGTAGTCAAAGTTAAGGTGGAGAATTTGAGAATTTTATCACTTGTTACAGCTGCTTTTCTCATCCCTTAAAATTTGTAAAATTGAGCTCTTGGTATGTTGGCATTTCTGTATAGGTGTCTTTTGAAAAGGGCTGTTCTAGCATGGAGCTTGAGTGTTTTATTGGCTGTCACGTTAAATGGGTATTCCAGTCTACTAGAAATGTCAGACTTTCTTAGTCTGTCTATAGTCTGTCACTTGTACAGTCAAACTAATGAGCACACTGAGAATTTTAAATACTACTCTGGGTTTCATTTTATCCTGACAGTCACTCAGATTGGCTGTGGAAGTTTCACAATCACCTGTTTGCTCCTCTCAGTGCTGTACTAGGCGATATCTGGAATAATTGCCTGGCGAATGTTACTGTGTGATGCCAGTGTTTATAGTCTACACTTCTCCAGGAGAGGTTCATTTCATCTTAGCATTATGTGTAATTTAGGAACAAGGAATCCAAGCAGCTGAATATTTTGAGATCCCTTTTCTTTGCCTTTTTTTCTGCTCAGAGGGATTGTATGCTGTACCATACGCATATTTTGCAGAGTAGTTTTCTTTGGCGTCCTAAGGATTGTGTCAGTAGGCAGCACTTCAGTGCCAAGAAAAAATCTAAAATGGTGCTGCAAGGCTCTTCCAACTCCTGCAATGAGGAACTATTTCAGTATGCACCTGTTCTCTTACATGCTTTGATTTCTCTTTCCCTCCTTTCACAATTTATGTGAAGGAAAGGGATTGTTTTGTGTATGAGATTCTGATGTGTTATTGTGACCTCTCCTTTCAGTGGAGAGTCCAGACTAATGAGAATAGGATTCCTATCTTCTGCAAGGACTGCCAGACATGAATACAACAGATAAATACTTGGGGCGGAGGGGAAGTCAGGAGGCTAGAATCCCAATTTATTTTTATTGTAAATCCCACCTATAAAAATGAAACAGGTTAACTAATTGAAAGCTAGCTGCCATATTATTGAATACCACCACATGTCATAAATACTACTGAAGACCTCAGGAGATCAGTTTTGTTTAATTTAATTGGACAGACCTTTTATTTGGCACAGAGAACAGGAGTTGGGGGAATGATTTTGCTAATAGGCAGGAATCAGCAGTATATTCCTGGATCATTCCAAGAGCAGAGATGGAATTAACCGGACAGGGAGCCTGTGAGGTAGCTCACACTACCAGGAAGCATATTATGTGAGGAGCAGAACAAGCATGTTAAATTCATGACTGCCTGAGTTAGTGGAGATGAAGAAACAGTTGCAGCAGCAGAAAAAGAATTGGTTGGAGACATTCGTTCCAGGTTGGTGAGAAGGAAGGGAGTGGATTTGGAACAGTGCAGCCAAGTTCTCTGGTAGAAATCTGAACTGAGTACTCGTAGGAAATTGCCAGTCAGCTCAGGAGATACAGTCCTAAAAGGTGTGTACACAAACCCTGATCAGGGCTCAAACCCAGCTTTTCTTCAATAGGTATTTGGTAAGTTCTCTAATATGTTCCACCTTACTTCTCCAGAGTCCTTCCAGCACCACCCCTCCCATCGAGATCAGTTCTTCGCGTCTGACTAAGCTGATGCGTCGCACCGCCGATAAGAAAAGTGAATTCCTGAAGGCATTGAAAGATGACAGGAATGGAGAGATCACAGAGAACAGAGAATGTGACAAGTTGGAGGATGTAAGAGGACTGCCCACTTTTCTTTCTGGGAATTGTATATTTTAAGGGACTTCAAATAGACACTATACCAGTGTGTTTAAAAAAAAAAAAAATTGTGGCTTCATATTTACACAGCGATAACATGGCTGCCAACTAGCCACATACGTAGGGAGTAGAACTTATCCTTCTCTGGATAGAGAAATGTAGGCTTCTGGGACTGGAACTAAGGAGATTCCGAACGGTCAGTAGTAGCTTAAATCCTGCTTCCTGAGCGGTAGCCACAAGAGAGAATTGCAAATGGCTTCCGTTCTAGGCTGCTGCCATGTGCCAGAGTCCATTCCTGCCAACTATCTATTTTAAAATGCCCTCTTATTTTTGATCTGTTTTAAAATGTCTTGACATTTTTCCCTAGGAAAACTCCTCTCCAGAATGGGGTTAGAGAAGTAACTTATTGTAGATCCTAAACGCAAACATTCTGAACTCTCATGTTGCCTCTGCTAGATCATCTGGAGCTGTTAATTAACGAGCACTTGTATCTGTGCTGCCATATCGGTACAGAAGGGGAAACAAAGAAAAGCCATAACCTAAAGCAGTGCTCTTCACTATTTTTGAAGTGGGGGCCACTTTGGCAAAAAACCTTCAATGTGAGAGCCACATCGACTACACAATGCTTACTACTCCTTAATGATGTAATGTTACAGAGCCACTCGTGCAACTAAAACAAAGTCTACTTGCACAATAAAACAATACTCCTTTTATAAAATAACCAGGAAAATATATGGAATTAAAAAGGCACCTATGTGAGTAAACTTTTAAAGAGCAGAATAATGCAAAACTTACTTTAAAAACTGGATGAGCGAAATGGTGCCTGTTCCTCCTCGACTTTGTTCATGCAGTATTTGTAATCTGTCATCGCAATCCTAGTAAGCCGTCCAAATGTTTGTTGGTCAGTTTGTTCCTTTTTCTTTTCATCCCTCTGGCTGGGGTGAGGGCTCTAGGGTGGAGTTGGGGATGAGGGGTTTGGGGTGTTGGGAGGGGGCTCAGGGCTGGGGCAGAGGGTTGGGGTGCGGGCTCTGGGGTGGGGCTGGAGATGAGGAGTTTGGGGTGCAGGCAGGCTGCCCCAGGGCTGAGGCCAGAGGACTGGCAGCAAATAGCTCCAGGGAAGGTCTCTCTCCTTGCCAGCAGGCAGCACGGAGTTCTGGGGGAAGGGGTCCTCTGTCCCCCCTGCCGGCAGGCAGCGTGATGCTCTGGAGGAGGAACCTCTCTTCCCTCCTGCCGGCAGGTAGCACGGAGCTCTGGGGGAAGGGGTCCTCTGTCCCCCCTGCCGGCAGGCAGCGTGA